TAGGCATAAAGAATTACATACAGGGGGCCGGGGAGATGGCTCAGTGGAATAAGCACTTGCCTGGCAAACTCAAGGGCCTGAGTTCAATCCCTGGTTCTACCAAAAAAAAAAAAAAAGAATTACATACTTCTTATGTTTACACATAAGTCCAAAAATCTAACTATATACAGCCTTGAAGGAGGACAGTCCCACAACATTCCTTTTCCTGTCTCTTGCCTTTATTCACCACCCCTTTCTTTTTGAACAATCATCCAACCTAGAGACAAAACAGCAGCAACTGGCATGTCATGAGAAGCAGCCCGTATTCAGAAGACCAGAATGACAGGCACTCCAAGCATGAACCTACTATTACAATTACCATCTTTAGTGCAGTTGCTTAGTTTACAGCTATTAATATATATAGTTAGTCAGGGTGAGAATCTTTCCAATTAACTGCTAGATTCAAAAATCTTCTGGAGATTCTCAGTATCGTTGCCTTGCCCTGCAATTATTATTTTTAATTTAATGTGTAATCACCAAAATGAAGCCTAATATCTTGTGATTGTCTTCACATTCCCTAGTATTTGTTAGAAACCATACTACTAATCTTTAAAAAAAAAAAAAAAGTAATCTCATCTACAAGTTACAGAATTTGTGTCATTTTGTTACAACAGAAAATGCTACAAAATATTTCTATTTCAAAAAAAAAAAAAGAAACCATACTACTGTCTGCTTCTGCTTCTATGAGTTTAACTTTGCTTCCACTTATAAATGAGGTAATACACTATTTGTTGCTGTGTGCATCCTTTGTCTACCTTATAAACTTTGAGCTAATGTTTCTAGATGTATATTTATTTGGTGTTGTACATTTTAGCACTATGAAGTGGCCCCTTTTATCTCCACTAATATTTTTGCTCCAAAGTCTGGTTTATCTGGTATTAACATAGCTATATCAAGTGTGGGTTTGTGTTTTTTTGTTTTGTTTTGTTTTTTGGTTTGTATATGCAGAGTATATATTTTTCCCAACTTTTTATTATTTAATATTCTCTCCTGTGTTGGGGAGATAGCTCACTGATCTAAGTGCCTGCCTAGCAAGCTAAAGGACCCAAGTTGGATCCCTGGTACCACATGCTGTGCTGGCACCAGAACCCTAGCATCCCTACACTGGAGGATCCCTAAGTCTGAACTGCATCGTGAGACCCTGTATGCAATAAATAAATTTTTTAAAAAATTCTCTCCTATATTGGCTTATTGGCTATATATTCTCTACTATTTTTTTTTAAATCCAATTTTAATGTGCACCCTTCCTCTGCAGTCTGCTGCCGCAGCTTCATGAGCAATGCAAGGAACGTGGAGTACTTCAACAGCTTCATTTTATTTTCTCTAGACTTATATTCTAGTGTCATGCATTTTAATTCTTCGTATATTTTGAACTTCAGTGGATATTAATATTACTACTTCAACAGCCATTCCCCATGCAGATTGACCCACACATTTCCTGTTCCCATTGGGCCCCTTCCTTCCTGCTTCAGGACTTGAGTCTAAAGTCATTTTTCTGTTTTTTCTTCTCTCACCTGACCTTACATATTAAGTCTGTCAGGGAATAATTTTCTTTAGTTTCTCTGAAAATAATTTTCTTTTGCCTTTTGTTTTTTCCTCCTTGCAGTACTGGGGACTGGGGTCAGGACCTTTACAGAGCTCTGAGGCTAAGTTGTCCAGGCTATGACTGAACTTGGAGTCTTCCTTCCTCTGCTTTCTAAACCACTGTGATTACTAGTATGTGCCATCATGACCAGCTGTTGCTCCTCTTCTCCCTTTTTAGAGGCTATTTGGCTGAGTATAGCATTCTAAATTTTGAAGGTAATCATTCCTGTCTTCTAGCTTCCAAATTTTCTGTTGAGATGTCAGTCATCAGTTTAATTTTATTTATCTTAGATAATTTCTCCATTTTTTCCACCTGACTTTAGGATTATTACATTGTCCTTTTTTTCCTGTTTTACAATTTTTGAATTTAATTTTATCACTTCTGAGCAGTGGGTGAACTCCATGTTTATTACAGAATTTACTGATTTGACAAAATTTTTAGTTTGCAAAGTATATTCTTTTTCTTTTTCCAGAAGTTTTACCCTGATGTAACTAGGTATAATTCTGTTTATATTGATCTTTCTGTGCGTTTTTGAAGCTCCTTGCCTGCTGGGCATGGTGGTGGATGCCTGTAATTCAGCACTTAGGAGACTGAGGTGGGAGGATTGTGATGAGCCCAGCCTGGACGTGTAGGTCAAGGGCAACCTAAACTACATAGCGAGACCCTGTCTCACAAAAACAAAACGAAACTTTGATAAGGGACTTCATGTCTTTTGTCAGTTTTTAAAAATGTGCAGACATCATTTTGCTTCTGTGCTATAATTCTTTCTCTTTCTGTGACTGGTTATTTGGATGTCATGTTCTCACCCTGTTTTAACCCTTTTCCTCTAGCTTTACTCTTTTTAATTCTCCACTCTTCATTCCAGATGGTTTTTTTTTTTTTTTAACAACAGTCTTCACTTTTAAATTTTCTTAACCCTGTCACATCTGCTAATTGAGCCCATTTATTTGCTTTATAATTTCTATAATTGTATTTTTCGGTTCTAAAATTTTCAATTTTTGTTAGCGTTTTCTTTTCTGAAATTGTTAGTATGTTTATTGTTCGTTAGGTATAATAGACCGCTAAAGTAAACAAGATGTGGCCATGAACCTATATGACCTGTGATCTAAGAATGATTTTTACATTTTTAAATGGTTTTTTGAAAATGAAAGTATACAAAAAAAAAAAAAAAAAGATCTGTGCTTGCTTCTAACAGTGGTATTTAAGCACTAGCAATCCAGTATAGCCTTAACCCCCAGCATCAAGCATTGAGATGATTCTAAAATACACTTACTTCTGTGTCACACCTAACTCCTAGAGTGTCCTTCACTCTTCAGGGTTCCAACACAAAATCATTCTATGCTGAGCATTGGAGGTCAGTGTTAGCCTTTAGTCTGTTGCTAAGGTGTTTCCAACCCTGTTAGCCTTTTTAGGAATCAGAAAATAGTCAGGGGAAAAGTAGCTCCAAAGGCCAGATAGTGCATGTGTGCACATGTGTATAGTGTGGATTTTAGGCTTTTCCATTTGTCTTAATACAGGATTCACCAGAGTTATCCTGTTATAACCCATATAATTTATTATAGAATTTACTGATTCGACAAAATTTCTAGTTTGCAAAGTATATTCTTTATCTTTTTCCAGAGGTTTTACCCTGATGTAAATAGGTATAATTCTGTTTATATTGATCTTTCTGTGCATTTTTGAAGCTCCGGAATAAATTTATAACCCGGAGTTATTCTGTTATAGCCCATCGTTATCCTCAGGGCAAGTTCATGACTTAATTCTTTTGCATATAGTTTCTATAACTAGAGTAATTTCCTTTTGATACAGAATGTACAGAATTGACATATGAACATTTTCTCATTTAGAATATATTTAATTTACACTAGTTGTATATTTCTTGTTTTTCTATATGAAAGCAGTTTTTTCCATATGGTCCTGGATATCAAGTTGCAAAGAAATTATTCAGACAAAAAGCAATATCTTCTTATTTTCACTATGCTTCAGAGAGTCTCTAGAGCACAGTGCTTGTTGCTTAACTCATTACTCTATGAGATCTGTTTTTTATGGTGTGAGATGTATTATGCAATCTGTATCCCTGATGAAGATGTGACCATATTAAAAATGGGGTGACGGATTTATTTCTTCCCTGTTTCTTGTATACCTGCACTTAGCAGAGATACTCATTAAATCATTTTGATCATAATAAATTTCTCAGGCACCAACTATGAAACAATATTAAGTGTAAAGATAGTAATGAAGTTTTGGGGATATTGAATATAGTCAAGTTTTTTACTTAAGTATTACTTTGTGGTGTACTTTAATCTGGGGCAGTTTGTTTTATTTATCCACCATCATACATAAAGGATGGGGGAGTTATGTGTGTGCGTGCCTGCGCTTATAGCATTCCTACCCTTTATAAGCATTGATATTTTCAGTTGGAGGAAAAGGCTGAATTTTTCCTCAGAAGTACCATTAATAATGGCAGTCTTTTTGGAAAAAAAATTTTTTTCATTCGTGCATTTGATACAGGGTCTCACTGCACAGATCGGATTTGTAGTGATGCTTCTGTTTTCAGCCTCCCCCGTGCTGGGATTACAGGTGTGCACCACCACACCGGGAATGTGTTACTGGCTCAGTGTGCCCCAGGGGGGGGGGGCCGGCACAGCATGCAGGACCAGGGATTGAACCCTGGTCACTGCATTTGCCAAAGCAGGTGCTTTCTCCACTAAGCTATCTCACCATTTTTTGAAAACTTTCAGTGGGCTTGTTACTGTTGGTATTAACTTTTTTTTTTTTTTTTTTTTTTTGCGTACCTTGGGTTGAACTCGGAACCTTGCCCTTGACAGGCAGGTGCTTATGCCGCTGAGCTGTATCCCTGACCCACCTGATACTTTCAGAGAATGCTTCTAATACTTTTAGAGAATGATTTTTGGATTTTATTATTTCAGAAGCCTTCTACTAATAATTAAAATTTTAGGATAGAAAATTTTGCGCTGGCCATGGTGATCCACACCTATAATAACCCAGCACTCAGAATGCTAAGGCAGGAGGATTGCCATGAGTTCAAGCCCAGCCTGAACTACATAACGAGACCCTGTCTCAAAAAGAAAAAAAATAAAGGAAAATGAAGTTCCATATTAATATACCTAAAAATGTGCTAGAAAAGTTATGTCTGGGTGTGGTGGCACACACCTCTAATCCTAGCACTCTGGAGGCTGAGGCAGGAAGATCGCCAGGAGTTTGAGGTCAACTGGGCTCTGTAATTGAGTTAAGACCAGCCTGAACTGCATAGCAAGACCCTATCATAAAAACACAAAAAGTTAAACTATGTCAAAATTCTTTAAAAAGGTAAAGACTGACATTTAGAGTAATTCACAGTATTTTTCTTTTTCAGCTTCCAGCTGATCTTACCAAGATGCATCTCACAGACAGCCCTCATCCACAGGTGACTCACGTGTCTTCTAGTCAGTCTGGTTGTAGCATTGCCAGTGACTCTGGAAGCAGCAGTTTATCCGATATTTATCAGGTAATAACCTCAGGAGTCTGTATGATTTACATATAGTTTTGTTTTTTTTTTGGGGGGGGTGTTTTGCGGAACTGGGGATTGAACTCAGGCCCTTGCGCTTGCCAGGGAAGTGCTTATTTTACTAAGCTATCTCCCCAGCCCTGCATATAGCTTTTTTACTAGACAAAATCTCATGTGCCTATGCCTTACATGGGCATGTATCTTTAAATTAGGGTGTGAGGGCTGGGAGATATAGCTTAGTGGTCTATAAGTGCCTGCCTGGCAAGTGCAAGGACCCAGATTCGATCGCTAGTACCACATGGCATGCCAGCCTCTGCACCATGGCACGCTTGTAATCCCAGCTCTGGGGAGGCTGAGACAGGAGGGTTACTATTCCAAGCTGCATAAAGACCCTGTGTCAATGA